TCTCCACTACACAGTGAGTTTGAGGTGAGCCTGGATGGCTTGAGACCCTGTTTCAAAAAAGCCTAAAATGAAATCACATAAAATCATTTAGATCCAAATAAGGACCACCAATCTTCCAGTGGCCTCTGTACCTGTCCAGCCCTTCATCACTGCCTTATTAATCTGCCAGTGTTTAACTATGAAACATTTGAGGGGCAAATGTACATCTTTTGACTCCCCATTCAAATATCTATGGCAAGGCTGGCAAGATGGCTCACTGGGTAGGGACACTCGCCATTAAGCCTAAAGACCTGAGTTGGGTCCCCAGAACCAACATGGCTGTCCTCTGAGCCCCACATTTGCACCCTAGCACATTCATAACCCCAAACACACATGCAGAGTGAATAAAACGAACAAAACCCAAGTATCTCTGATGGCTTCCCGCTACCCACGGGAAAAAGCCACAGTTGTTCCTATCTCAGATTGCAAGGACCCCGTGATCTCTGCCAGTGGGGTTTAATGATTTCTGTTTTCATGACCAGCCTTCCTGTTAACCCTTTTTATAATCCAAGGTTGAGTTAATGTAACCACCGCTCCTCTGAAAGTCACTTCTTTTACGTCAAACTTTTTAAATAGTTACAGGATTTTTTTTTTTTATGCTGAGGAAATACAACAGGCATAAATGCTCTTCTTAGCAATGGCCTGTGAAGGGAAGTAAAGAATAACCCACATTTTATGGTTTAAAAAATGCTACCAAGTCAGCCATGGTGGCACTCATTTATTCCCAACACTTGGGAGGCACAGGTAGGTGGGATCTCTGAGAGCGCCAGACCAGCCTGGTCTACAAAGAAAACTTCAGAATGGTCAGGGTTATAGTGAGATCCTGTCTCAAAAGAAGCAAAAACCAAAAACCAAAACAAAGCAAAAAGCTATCAAAAGGTGCCTGGAGAGACAGACAGCTCAGCAGTTAGGAGTATTCACTGGCTGCTCTTCGAGAGGACCAGGGTTTAAGTACCAACACCCACATGGTATCTCACAAACATTTGTAACTCCAGTTCCAGAAGGGCCTGATGCCCTCTTTTGTGGACCCCAGCCAGACATGCATGTGGAGCAGAGAGGCACATTCAGGTAAGCACCCATACACAACTGAAATAAAAAAAAAAATTTTTTTTTACATATTAAAAAAAGATTTTAAAACATGTCACCCAAGTGTTGGTATCAAACACCCAGGGGGAAAAAACGTGTTTAAAAACAATTGTCTGAGGAACCGCAGAGGTTGCTCAGTGGTCCCTAACAGTGACATGTGTTCAATCTCAGGTACCCGGAAGAATTAAAAAGGGAAAAAAT